ATATATATATATATATATATATATATATATATATATATATATATATATATATATATATATATATATCCCACAAGGAGGGCCTGAGGTGAAGGCAGAATGTAATGCCTGTGCCCTCTTGCAATATCAGGAAGTCGACAACTTGCTCAAGTACGAGTATGGCGATCTACGCGTTCGACTGGACAGAAAGATCACATTTGCCAACCCGACAGATGAATCCGAAGGCGAAATGGAAACTGAAGAATCTGGAGAGTTCGATTAACCTGCAACAGTATGCAACTTTTGGGCCTGCGGTTTGCGTCAGGGCTGCCGCCCACGCGGCAGGCTCTCGAATCCTGAAGGGGATGCACCGAAAGAATATGAAACGGTGTGCAGGCAGCAGACTATGCGCACTTTATCCCCTTACGCAAATAACATGCTTTGTTGATGATTATAAGAAATGAACTTTTGAGGCTGCACAAACGGTACTGCCGTGTTTGGTGGTATCTTACACTCACGCCATGCACACAAGCGGGCATGCGAGTGTTGTTGAAACTGATACGAGTAAAATCCAAAACAACTAGCTGGCTCGAAACAAAGTAAGGGTGGTCACTCGCGATGAGCGCCTGAGTGAGAATGCGCAACGATGGCAAAACACTCTGGTGTTTCTTCTGATTCAACGAACTGTTGGAGGGTAGCGGTCGTAAAGCCTTCCTGTCGCAGCCACCAGATTCTGCAGCAAATAAAAGGGAATGCAAGAGGAAAACACCCATAAACTAGCCTGTCTTAAATCGCACCGGAGGTTAGTATTTGTGCATGCTGCATCACAAACCTAAGCCAGAGATCACAACCCGTTGACAATTTCACTTCCTTGGATGAGGAGGTACTAACGATAATTAAAGTCAGCGGCTCCACCTNCAACCCGTTGACAATTTCACTTCCTTGGATGAGGAGGTACTAACGATAATTAAAGTCAGCGGCTCCACCTATAAGGATCAACAATTACCGGGAGATATCTAAAATTCTCTTCACCATATTCCCGATTTCGCGCTTCCTGTCGGTCGCCCCAGTAGCCCACCTGCACGAAAGCCAGAGTGTGTTCCCATCACACCGTTTGTTCACAACACTCGAGTCTTTGCTGTTTGTGCCATGAATATATCCGAAAGGTAAGCGCAACGGCAGAAACAAACAAAAAAGACGACGGACCCGGAGAGTGAAAAGAGCAAAGATATTTCCGTAAGCGTGAAGCCTTGGCTGAGAAGAAACTCCGTCCCAACAAACGACTCCGTCGTGCATCTGCGCAAAGCTCCAAAGGAGAACGACAGAGAGAAATAGCTCGGGAGCCTCTAAAACATGAAAAGAGCACCAAATGGGACAGCCACACTCACAGTGAAGGAGTCACAACGCCTTTAATGTGCCTGGTTACACACACTGGATACAAACGCCTCCGTCAAANCACAGTGAAGGAGTCACAACGCCTTTAATGTGCCTGGTTACACACACTGGATACAAACGCCTCCGTCAAATGAGTGCGACTGTTCGCCGATTACGTCTGCAACTGCGTATGCTGCTGCAGACGCCGCTGCCAGTACACATATGCATATTTCTCCAGCTGTCAGTGACGAACTGCACGGAAAGGCTTACCTATGGTGACAGCATGTGGCAATGCAAACGCAAAACTTGAGTCTTGACTCTGTGGCGTCTCGAGCTGACGCAAAGCATCTGCGCCCGTTCCCAAAATTCCGCAAGTGAAAAACAGCCTAAAACTCAAGCCCTACATGTCCATTGAAGTGAAAGAATCGACATGCGTCTTTTCAGTTCCACAGCGACGCAAGCCGTGAGGCCTTTGCAGCAGCTGCGTGAGGCCTTTGCAGCAGCTGCGACACTGAATGCCTGGAATCCAAATAATGGAACCTAAAGCATGAATGCGTGAGGCGCACCTTAGGGCAACGTCGGATCCCCCACCGCACAAGTGTTTAGCAACGCCGAGTACATTTGAGGTGCATCTGCCCCTGAAGTGCTCCCCCAAGACATCGTCGATTCTGCAGAGAGCCACAGAGCAAACATGACGTGTGGAAAAAAGACAAGGAATGCCTTGCCATTTGGTTGCCGACCTCAAACCGCAGCTTCGTAACAATGTCCCTGCAACGTAACAACGACTGCTAAAGCGAGGGACGAAAACACCAGCAGCTGCAGTTCCTCGCATGTTTAGGCAAAACATTCGAAAAGGTGTGCAAGTTGGTTTGCGGCGCTCCCTGGTGTCACTGCAGATTCAGAAACGTGACCGCGTAAATGCAGCAACAGCAGCAGTATGCTTACTGTGTAGCAAGCACACTGGCGGTGTAGCTGCATTTACGCCGTCACCATTCCCAGAACAGCAGCAGCTAGGATTCCAGAATCATAGGCCAAGTTGTATAGGGCGTTCAGGCACTTCCAGCCACGTTACACAAGTCATCGCAACTAACAACAGCAGCAGCAGCGGCAGCAGCGCTAGCAGCAACAGAAACAGCGGCAACACGCACCTCTTCATGCTGGGCCCCCCGCCTTCCCCCAGTGTCTGGGCAATTGCGAAGAACTCCTCGGCACTGCCATCTTCAACGCAGCGCAGGATTCTTGGCTTGGGTCCTCGCTTGGCTGCATGGTTTGGCTCCTCTCCTACGTTGGTTGCTTCTGCGACATTTGCTAAGGAATGCATTCCATCCCCATTCACTTTGCATNCTCCTCTCCTACGTTGGTTGCTTCTGCGACATTTGCTAAGGAATGCATTCCATCCCCATTCACTTTGCATCTTTCGCCGCGTGTCTCTTTGGCCCCCTCCTGCTCCAGCCGAGGTTTTGGGACAGCGAAGCGGCAACCGTATTCAAACAGTTTCTTGAAAAATCCCGGGATATGCGGCCTGCGCAGACATTTGCACACATCATTAAGCCCTGAACCCTATACCCTCGATTCCCTACGGCCCCTCTCACGCCACTTCCGCTATTCCGAAGCAAAGGAGGTCAGCCTACAAGCCTACAACCTTAAATCCTAAGCGCTCCTCGTAGCAACGGTCCATTAATTAAGGGCAAAACTTTCCATCGAACCCGTGAGGTGGGAGGTGGGCTCACACGCGTAAGGGGCCTTTGCAAGCGATGTACTTGACGAGCGCCACCAGAGAGAAATCCGCAATGTCCATTCGCAGACGAACAGGAGGCACGGGCAGAGCGGCCCCGCTGCTGCTGGTTGATGCGGGGTTGCTGCAGCTCGCATTGGTGCCAGTGGCTGCAGGAGTCAGGCTAGCAAGAGCTTGTGGAGGCCTTCCGATAACAGAAGAAGCAGCATCACCAACAGTACGCGTTTGTGCTGGGTCGGACAGTGCTGAAGCGGCTGGCCCTGCCGTCATTTCTTCTCCAAGCAAAGGATTTCCCAAGCTGGTGTTCTCCTCCACGGCTGTTTCCACGGTCGCCGCAGCAGCAGCCTTGCGTCGCTCAGCAGCAGCAACAGCAGCAGGATGTAGCGGTCGGAGGGAGTTGGGATTGCGAAATGTCTTATCCTTGGCCTCCTTGCAGTAGCGCCGCGCTTCACGGTCGACAACAATACAGCGAACACCTCTATGTTGTCTCGGAGCATGCGTATGCAGGGCGCCGGGAGCTCCCGCTGCTGCTGCTGCTGCTGGTACTTGTGGTGCTGCTGCTGCCGGCTCGCGTTGTGCATTCGCCGCGACCGCAACGGCCGACCAGCAGCACAGCCAGCGCGTCAGGTCACCTTTGCCTAAAGACAATCAACAACGGCCCANGCAACGGCCGACCAGCAGCACAGCCAGCGCGTCAGGTCACCTTTGCCTAAAGACAATCAACAACGGCCCACCGGCTCTCAGAATGCGCACAATGCAGAACAGATTGCCTGCATGCAATGCGTGCAAATGAAGGACATGCTGACGGAGAATGATGTATACTGAAAAGATGGTCCCCAACTTTACTTGCAAGCATCTCTATATTGTGATGTTTCGTATTTCACTATCAGTCAAGAAGTTGACGGTGAAACGATCACAAACATAAGCCGAACGCTCCACAAAAGAACAACCGCCGCCCTATGCACATGCCTACACCGCTCTCCAGCATAATTGGACAAGCCAGTGAGAAGAATATGGTGATGCTAGTTTGCTCCTGCTCAGCATGCACAAACATCTCGTTTGGCTTAACCTCCATATATTATAAATATGCATTCGAATGAGTACAACGAGATCACGAGAACGCATATTCGGAATACAACTTGGTGAATAGATCCATGTACGCGTCTCCACTTGGGTGTATAAACAATGAAAGACAAACGCAGAGCAGCTAAAGAAGGTAAAAAGGAAGACTCACCAGCCCCCAGTTCTACGATAAGTGTTTCGTCAAGGCTTGACTTTTTCAGGTGGCTGTGCAGGAGACACAAAGCCAAGAGCTGCAGGAGCTGTTTCTGATGTTTGTTCAGCCGCTGCTGCAGCTGCTGCAGCACCTGCAATATCGCGCTCGATCGATCTTGCTGAGGCAGTAGCAAAGCTCTCTTCAAGTCAGCTTCAAGCCATGCTAGGGGATGCCCCTCTGCTGCTGCAGTTCCCGTGTCCAGCGGCACTTGTGTTGCGTCTGCAGCTGCTCGCAGCAGCAGCAGCGCTTCTTCTTCCCTTTCGCTATGACGCTCTCCAGTCACGCCGCTGCAGCAATTCAATATGAATATTGAGGCAGGCAGCTTTTCCAGAGAGTCCCACTGAGGTACAGCAGCTCCCACCGGTGCTTTTNTATGAATATTGAGGCAGGCAGCTTTTCCAGAGAGTCCCACTGAGGTACAGCAGCTCCCACCGGTGCTTTTGCTGTAGGTGGCGTCGCTGCTGCTGTTTCCGCTGTTGCTGCTTCTTTTGGGGACATGTTGTTTAGATACAACAGGGAATATCTGTAAGCGTCAGATATCTTGGCCTCAAATTCCGAAGTGAGCGCTGCTGCTGTCTCCGGGCTTTCCACGTAGTCCCCATGCTGCAGCTTCTGTTGTAGATGGTCCTCCTGGCGCTGCTGCTCCGACTGGTCAAGTCGCTGCTGCTGTGGTAAATTGGCGCCGGGTTGCATAAAGGGGAGACAGTGCGAGAAGGCGATGTCTCTTGCTTTCGTGCATTTCTTCAGGTGGGCCTGGACCCGGAGTGCGTATATGGAGTGGCTGCTGTCCATGGGGCATGCAATACGCTCCCCATGCCTGCCGCTGCTGATTCGATTACGGCTCAAGATCCCGTCATTTGGCGCTGCTTCCGTTGCTGCTGTTCCTTTTGCTGCCTCTTCCAATGCTCCTTTTGCTGCTTCGGAGGCTGCTGCTGCTGCTTCAGATGTTCTACCGGGAGATGCCCTTCCGCTTGCCGTCCCCAATGACACCCCTGAAGCTGCAGTTGATGCTGAAGGGTGGAGGGCTGCTGCCACAGCATGGAGGTTGCTGCTGGTCAGGGGGCCCTCCCCTCCAGGCTTTGGCCGCTTCAAGGCCCCTCCAAGCCTCTCGCTTGGGGCCCCATGGAGCATCCTGGTATCCGTAGAGAGGGCTTCCGGGTCCTCAATCTCCGGCACCGGCATAGGGGGGACCCTGAGCTCTGAAGGGACTTTCCCTTTTCTGCAATCCGGAGCTTGGAAGTTGCCTACAGACGCCCCTCGACGCCTAAAACCCAAGCCTTGTACTTAAACTTTCAAAAAAAATCCCAAAGGAATTTCATGAATAACATAGCTAGGACGATTAAGACGATACGAAGGAGTGGCCGCTGCGGCGTATACAGATCGTCGGGTGAGGGGCCCCGGGAANGACGATTAAGACGATACGAAGGAGTGGCCGCTGCGGCGTATACAGATCGTCGGGTGAGGGGCCCCGGGAATTGAGTGGAGGCAATTTAGGGAAAGTTCTATGGAGGATGAGGAAGGATGTAATGATACTTCGTGTTTTAAGGTTTATTGTTAATTCCTCATGGTTCCCTGTGTCCGGAAAAGCTGAGGCATTTACGCAAGGCCTCTCGGTCGAGGATCTCGTCTTTAAAAACTTCGGCTGCGGCCGACAGCTAAGTTTAACTAGCACGTGAAAACGCCGCGGGGATACAGTTAAACATTTCCACCGATTATACAAACCGGAGACGCGTCATTGAGTTCCTCTTAAAGCCCCGAAAAAACAAATTATTTGCAAGAATTCCGGAGGCGTACGGTTGCAACAACGCGCACCGACTTTTCTGTTGGGGGTTTAGGAGATCAGAATGATGCAAAAGAATGACAAACAGCATAAAAAGCGAAAGAATTGATAGCAAATAATGCAATTCGATCAAACATAAGCTCATATCACCTCAACTGCACGTTCGGTGCTACGGGTCACTGCAATCGATTATCAGCTTGTAAGTAACTACCATCCTGTATTGTTATTCACTACGGTAAGAGTTCATTGATTTGAATCATATATATATTATGCAGATTTCTGTACACAGGTTAGTGGCAACGAAACAAGTGCTGACAGNGATTTGAATCATATATATATTATGCAGATTTCTGTACACAGGTTAGTGGCAACGAAACAAGTGCTGACAGTCCGCTTGCGCGCTTTGCATACAGTTGAGCAACGCAGAAGCAGACCGGCAAGGGCTCCCGATAATAGATGTGGGGGCCGCTTAAAGAGGGACCTGCCTCATCCTTTGTAACGGCATTAGCAAAAAGACCAGCAGTAGCTCCTCTACGTGCTGCAGCCGGGGCCCACGCACTGCGCCGACCCCAATCATTCCTCTGTCCTCTCGCCTTCGAGGCAACTTCAGAGGCGGCTGACGCACTGTAGCGGCAGCTGCTGCTACTGCAGCAGCATACCTGTCTTATGTGTCGCTGTCCCTTGAAGGGAAAGCTTTAAGAATGCTCCCATGCTCTGTCAGGGCCTCGTCCAAGGCCGCCTCGAGAGACTCGAGGGAACTTATCTTCTGCAGCTTCTCAGCAGACGCAAGCGACACCACGGGAGAATTTACTGGAGGCTTGACGACGCTTCGCCTGNCTGCAGCTTCTCAGCAGACGCAAGCGACACCACGGGAGAATTTACTGGAGGCTTGACGACGCTTCGCCTGCTGCAGTCCACTGGAGCAGCGGCAAAAGCTGCAGAGAGAAATGCAAACCCTAAAACCGATGTCTTAAACCCTAAACACTGCTCGCAGTGCCTGCTGTTTGTCGTCCTGTCGAACTGTGCGTCATCTCCCCGCTATATCTGTATGCCATACTTGCAACAGCAGGGCTCCGTACGCAGATAGCGTGCGCGTATAAGCACATAATTTTGCAGTTCTGCGCATGCATATCTGCCTATTTGTGCGTTGATATCCATAAGCATCCTTAGCGGCAAATGTACCTGACTTAGGCAGCTCCACACTAGACAGCTCCCCCTGAAACTGCTTCCGCGCAGCTCCGGCCAAAGACAAAGCGCGCGACACGAGGGACTCAGTTTGTGAAGCTGGGGCCTCCTTGCTCGCTCTGAATGCAAAAGCAGCAGCGGCAGCAACCACAGCAGCAGCAACGACAACGAACAATGAAGAAGCCGGACATTTCAAACGGGCAAACTCAAGGGGAAGAAACGGAGCCGGGGAACAGTAGGAGCAATGACAGCAACGGAAGTCACTGCTGATACAACTGTTTTAAAAGGAACAGAATGATTTGGGTGTACATGCACCTGGTTTTCAAGCTGCAGCAACAGCCAACGGAAGGAGAGGCGAGCTGCAGTCGCCGGTAGAGCAGGGAGAATGCGGGGCCTTGCGGTAGCAGCATGCCCAGACCTGCGGGAAAAAGCGGAACCTGCGAAGATGGGAAGCTGAAACTCAACAAGAATATTTTTCTTCCCTGACAACGCTTCACCCTGTTGGGGCACCATCAAGGAACCATTCGCTGGGTAAAGTGCTGGCCGCATAACCACGAAAAGGGACGCAGACTGAAGTGCAGTACAAGTATAATCTAAATACAACGATAAATAAGTATGCATGCCAAGCAGAGCACCGGTTGTAGAGCGTAAACAGTGCACAAGCAGCGCTCTGTTGTGCACATGTGCAGTGTGTAGATGCGTCAAGTTTTCCTGTACTTCGGCGTGCACATAGGTGGTGGTTGGTAGTACACTTGAAGGAGCAGGTGCAACAAACATTCACACAATCTGTACATCCGTGTACATGGTGGAGAACCGATGCCGTGAGCCACGGGAGGAATGCACTGTGCTGGGCAGATAGCTTCTCAATCGCTTCTTTCTCTATCGTAAACCCTTCGTATACGAAAATGCTTCTCGTCTTCGAGTCGCGTCTGGTGCAGCAGCCGCGGCAGCAGGAGCAGGAGAAGTAGCAGCAGGGTCAGCAGTGGAAGAAACACAAAGCAGTCGCAGCAGAAGCGTGGAACGCTGACCTCGAATAGCAGTAATAAGGTGCGGGTCAACCGGCTGTTGCAGCAGCTGCATGCGCAGCAAAGCAAAGGGTTTGCTCTCCAGCAGCAGCACCAGCTGTTCCAGCTGCAGCATATCCAGGTCAGAGAGGGAGTCTTCGCTGCTTCTGCGGCCAGAGACAGAAGCAGAAATATTGCAAGAACCAACTGACCAGAAGCAAGCAGCATAAATTTCTTTCCCCCCCCTGACAAACAATTCCTTGGGGGCGAGATGAGGGTCACGATGAGCACAGCACTATACGAGCTGCAGAGACAGACGTATGATGAGAAGCGTTGTACCGAATGCTTTAACAAATTAACAGCGCGCACAAGGTGAGTGTTTATACCTCATATTTGCCTCCGCAGAGACAGCCAAGCGTAAAATGGGTGCGCAACTACGTATGGACAGCAACAGCCAGGTGCCCCTTTGTATGCATATATTTAGTGAACACCAACACACGCGCAAACACTACCACAGCATAATGCCCCTNTGCCCCTTTGTATGCATATATTTAGTGAACACCAACACACGCGCAAACACTACCACAGCATAATGCCCCTGTCCATACGCCCCGAACAGTCGATCATGGCCACAGCGGATGACCCCGCAAACTCCCTCAGTGCCTCACAGCATTTTCACTAGCCCCGCAGCAACTTCGTATTTGCCTCCATAAACGGAGAGCGCTATCAGCCACACCGAGTTGTGCGCCCTAGTGCAGCACACACGCACACAGCAGCGGCAGCAGCAAAGTCCATGTCTTCAGAATTGAAACTAGCGTCTTTATGCATCTTGAGGTAGCGCAGTCGAATTGCTCAGAAATTCACCGCCCCGCACACAGACAGCATAAGGGCTACAAAGAATTCCGTGGAGACAGAGTAACGGGTGCGCAAGCGAAGGCTGATGCTGGTGCTGCTGTCCCTTCTGTTCCTGCCGCTGATGCTGGTGCAGCCACTGCTGCTGCTACCGCTGGTCCTGCTGTTGCTGCTTTCACAGGGCTTACCAGGTAGGCAGTAAAGTTTCAAACATCTTGNCTACCGCTGGTCCTGCTGTTGCTGCTTTCACAGGGCTTACCAGGTAGGCAGTAAAGTTTCAAACATCTTGCTGTCATCTGCGCGACAGGCAACGACAAAACGCACCGCTGCTACGGCACTGAGCCGCAAAGCCTAAACCGTAAACCCTAAACTCTCCTGGTTGCCATCTAATGTGCCAATCAGTGGCTGCTACTTCAGACAAGAAGCACTCCATCCAACAAATCAGAACCCTTTGTTTACGCTGCTGCTGCTACACGCCTTTGTTGGAGCTCCTGTCGTAATTCTTGCTGCAGTGGCTACTGCTACTGCTGCAGCTCCTGTGGCAGCTGCTCCTACCCTTGCGTATCTCCTGGCGAATGGCATCCATTTCCTGAGTGGGGTCACAAGCAGATCCAAAGGCCGTTATTAAACCTTGAAAAACCCTAAACCCTAAACTCCCAGGACAGGCAGCTCTCCTGGCAGTTGAAGGAGACAGTAGCTCATAGACAGGGACCAAACACGTGTAGGGATATGAAGGGTCACCGTGGAGCCGTGAGCGGAATGGGGCCTACCTTGGCACTCAAGAGATCGATACTGAGGGCCTGAACGATCTGATGCAGAAACTGCAGCGTCTGTTCAGCGGTATCGCCTGGAGATCCGGCCGGCCCATCTTGTGGCACATCTTTTCCACATATTGGGCTCTTTTGTCCTGCTACTGCCGTTGAGGCTGTTGCGGCTGCGAGCTTTGCTGGTGGTGGTGCTTCTGACCGAGACCGCTGCGCCTCTGAGACTTCAGTAGAGGTCTTATCTGCTGCTGGAGTTTGCGCGGCAGCTGCTGCTGTTGCACAGTGACGCTCAATCTGCTTTGCCATGTGCGTGTACACCTCGCAAGGATTCCTCATGGTGCAGAGCTGCCGCAGAACAAAGTGGCCCCTTCCATCCTACAGCACAAACCCTAAACGAGAAAGTTGAGCATTGATGTTTATGCCTTAAATCTACACTCTAAACCATCAACTGTCAGCTCNCCTAAACGAGAAAGTTGAGCATTGATGTTTATGCCTTAAATCTACACTCTAAACCATCAACTGTCAGCTCTAACCCCGGAAGCGAGACTTTAAAACCTAGACTCAGGCGGCGCGGCTGGTGACAGTTGCCACTCCATTACAGAACAAGAACTCAGAGAAGCTACGACAGTGCAGCTAAAAGCGCAATAAAACGCAGAAGACCTTGAGGCATGAAGGAATAATAGTGCACGCTTTTGCGATCAAGGGCATGCGATGGATACTGACAAGGAGACAGCGGTTCGAGCGGAAGAGGACCAGCAGCTCCTCCGCCACCACGCGGAGATTCGCGTCGCTGCGCTGCACAAAGCGACTCAGGACAGAGAGTGACATTCGCAACAAGTGGTTGGATGGTGCTGTTGCTGCTGTTGCTGCTGCTGTCGCTGCTTCTGCTGTGCTCGACCCGGACCCGTCCGTTGGCGTCGCCGCTGACGGCTGCCGGCTGGCTGCCTCCTGCGTAGATGCAGCTGCTGCTGGTCTTTCTGCTGCTGCCGTTGGTGCAGCAGTAGTAGCAGCAGCTGCCCCCTCCGCCGTTAGTGCCGTGTACAGCACTGCAGCTACTAGGGGTTGCTGCTTTTGCAGTAAGAGACTTTGGGTGTCGTCTTCGTTTTGATCTCTGCTGCGCTGCTGCATCTTCTGAAAACGCTTACTCAACTTCACGCCGTTCTGCTTCTGTTTCTGCCTCTGCTGTTGCTGATTCTGTTGCTCTTCTTCGCTCCCCACAAGCAACAGGTGCGGCTTCTCTACAAGCATCAACTCCATCCACTGGAGACACAGTGAGCGCACGTCACCAGCTGCAGCAGCAGGTGCAGCAGAGCTTGCATTTTCTGCAGCCGCCGCTGCTGTTGGTGTGGGTCCTGGCGGGCTATACGTACACAAGTATTCCGCGGCGCTGCTCACGAACTCGGAGAGGTCCAGCGCAGCTGTCGAGACCAACACCTGAACAGACGCACAGCAGCACAAGTAGACCCAGCCACCTAGATGCACCTGCGCAGAAACTAGCAGCAGCAGCAGCAGAAGTAACAGTGAGAGTAGCTGTACGAATAGCAGCAGCCACAGCAGCTGCATGCGACAGGAGGAGGTCAATGGAAAGACGGAAACATGCGTAGCTGTAGCAAACTGTTGACGGCAATAGGATCGACTCGGGAACTGGATAAGGCCCCACCCTGGCGATGACGTGCGCATGCACTTCTGCGCCCATTCGCGCGATTTCTGCATAATAAAGAGCACCCAACACACAAAGCACGGCAACAAACTTCCCTTTCTGCAGGCTCTCCCTGCTGCTGCCGTTGCAGTTGTTGTGGCTGCCGCAGTTGCTACTAGTGCTGCTGCTAGGGCTGTGCTAAAAGGGGAGGGTGGCGGTGGTTCGATTGCCTTCTTCAGCCTCCGCAGCGCAGCGCAATATGCTCTGGAGCATTCTGCATCCGAGTGGCTGCAGCATCAACCGCATATCACGGACAAAACGAGCACCTGATATAAACGCTGAACCCTAAACCCTAAACCCTGCTGAACCGGTGATAGTCTAGGGGTTGGCAGATGTGTGCTTGTATGGACTAGGCAACACTTGGGACTTCCTCTGTACCTTGAGATGTTTCTGAACCTCCAAGTGCCAGCGCACGATTGGCGTCTGAGGCAGAAAAAATTCGTCCTGCTGCTGCTGCCGTTGCTGTTGCTGCTGCTGTTGTCCCTCGTCTGGCAGCAGCAGCAGCAGCAGCTCGTGCAGCCACACCAGAGCCGTCAACTGGGTGAAGGAACTGTTGCTGCTATCGCTGCACCGCAGCACCACCTCTGCAGTCTGCGTCACTACGGCAGGATCCGCTGCGGCAAAAAAAGCAGCGAATGTAGCAAAAAAAATCAACGCGGCCCGGTCTAACCAGCAGCAGCAGCAGTTGCAGCAGCAGCAGACCCAACAACAGCAGCGGCACCGCTAGACGACCCAGCAGTCGCATCGACAGAGCAGCTAAGAGGTCAATGCGTGCATGAAAGACACGATCGCGCAACGAGAAAAATGCGTGGGAGACGTTCACCGCCGCCGCAGCAGTAAAAGCAAAAGCAGAAGCAGCAGCAGCAGCAGCAACAACAAACCGTGCAGCCCGTACTGTCTACTGGATCCGACCGTAGATCCTCCAAGAAATTGGTGACGCACAAATCCGCAGCTTGGCGAATGTCCCTGCAGCAAATGCGTGCGACAGCCAGGAATTGCTGCTGCAGCTGCTGCTGTTGCTGCGGTTACTACTTGCGCTGCCGCTATTGCTGCTGTTGTTAGGGAAGTGATAGATCTTACCTGTGAGAGTCGCCCAGTAGCTGCAGCAGTCCTCCCAAGAACAGTGGCAGATACTGCAACATGTCAACCCCTAAGGAGCACCAGCAGCAGCAGCAGCAACGGGAACAACAACAGCGCTAACAACTGCCATGGCAGCAAAACAGGGAGCACTATGGCATTGCAGAAAAAGTTATGGTATTTAATACTTCCATGAATGCAGGAACAACTTGCTGCTGCTGCTGCTGTGTCTCCTCCTGCTCCTGCTCCTGCTGCCGTTAAAGTGTGTAGGGGTGGCGATGCACACGGCCCTACACACTCTGGCTGGTTACTGACGCCACAGCCTACAGCGTTGCAGCGCTTCCAGCAACAGTTACTGTAACATCAGCGGCAGGAGTTCACCTGTATTGGATTCCAGCAGGGAAATCCACGAAAGCTGCACGCCGCACAAACACGGGTCTGAACTCCCCGTTGTCAAACTCAAAACCCTACGCCCTAGATCAGAAACCGAAAACGTCAAATTACTACCACCCGGGTCCTTCTTCTGTACGGAGGCACCTTAGGACGCTAGCCGCAAACCCCACACCCCTGATCCCAGACACTGCGAGCCCATGCCTATAGCCTAAATCCTAAACCCTGAAGCCCAACTTACCGCCAGGAGTTTGATATAAGGGTTGCGGACGAGGAGGCGTTCGACAAGCAAATGTATGAAGGCTGGCGTGATGGGCCCTTTGGCTGCTGCTGCTGCTTTTGCTGCTGCCACTGGGACCCCTGCAGCAGCTGCCGCAGCAGCTGCAGCAGCCGTCGCCTCCGCCGCTGCTGCTGCTGCGGCTGCTGTCTCTTCCTTCAACAAGCTGTCTACAAAGCCCACGCCCTGACGCACCTCCCGGTCCACGTCGCCGCAGAGCTGTGCGTACACCCCAAGACAAGAAAGAGACCGCAGACCTTTGGATATGCAAGCATGCAACCAGCAGGAACAAAAGGCAGTGCAGTGAGGGACAGGGCAACACACCGAACGCAAAGCATACGGAGAGGGAGACAAAGAGGCGCCTTGTCAGGACGAAATACAAAACGAGGCAGATGCAGATGCACAGAGAGAACAGCAGACATACGAAGAAGTGGCGAAACCAACAGGCGTTCGTCCTTACCTTGCACAGTCCATCGAACAGTTCCGGTAAAAACTGCAGACAGAGACCTCTCGCGGCCTTCAGTACATTGAAAAGACTCTGTCAACCACATCAGAAGTATAGTTGTGTATAGGCAGCTCAATACCACACACCCAAACCCACACCCACACCCACAGCCATACCCACCTACCCAAAGACACAGAGAGCCAACCAAGAGAGAGGCACGGGCAGAAGGGCAGAGACGCAACGAAGGAGACAAAGGCAAAAACGCAAATATGCAAACAAAAACGGGAAGGGGACGAAATGAACGACACTCTGCAACCCAAATGAAACAACTGGGAAACAAAGAGGAGAAACGGAAACAGGGGACAAAAAGACACGGCGGCATAGCAAAACATGCCGCTGCTGCTGCTTCCGGCCGTTCCTTCTGCTGTTGTTGCTGCTGCGTCTGTCGTCTCGCTCTTCAACTCGCTGACAAAAAACAGACGAGGGCCTCATCTCACCTCGCAGGCGTAGTAGCGCACGCGAGGGTCAGGGTCGCCGAAAGATTTCAGCAGAGGCCGGAGCAGCAGCTGCAGACAACTCTCCAGACCACCAGACTGTACGCACACCCCAGCAGAAAGCAACAATAGCCACGTCAGGCCGAAGTAAGGATCTACAATAAACAAAGACAAGCGCCGCGAAGGGTGCCTGCAGCCTGAAACGCTGGACCCAAACCCTAAGCCATAGCCCCTGAACACTGCAGCCTAAACGACGACAGAACCAAGACGTAGAGAAAGCAAACTAAGGAACGGCAAAGGCAGCAGTAAACTCTATGTCTAAACCAGAACGGCGGGAGACAAGTGTAGAGGGGCAACCAGACGCACGTATAAATATACAGCTCAGGTACAGCCCATTGCCAAGCGCCACATGTCTGGAAGGACGGAATCTCGCAGGTGCAAATAAATGAAATGATACAAAGAAAGACATCTGCAGGCATCTGCACGGCTTGCTGGTGATGTGCGTACACAGCAGACGCTCATGTACGGCTACAACTACCCAGAGGGGGAGTATTTTGTGGGAAAATGCTGCAGTGACACCCGAGAAAAGCCCTATATACACCAACAGCGCTAGGGAGTTCCAGAAGGCCTCTAATAAGCAATAAGACTCAGAGGTCAATGCTCCGCACCTCGAAGGCCAAACCCACAGCCGCAACTCCTAAGAGGCCCCCCTTGCGGATGTTGGCGATGGGGCTCGACAAAAAGTCCGCAGTAAGCGCCGAAATGGCCTTCTGCACTGTCGCCTGAGTTGCCTGCTGCTGCTGCTGTTCTTGCTGCTGCTGCTGCTGATGCTGATGCAGATGCGGTTGCGGCTGCCTTTGAGTCGGCGTGTCTGTCGTGGCATCCGTTGCTACTTCAGCTGCAGCAGCACTGGCGGCCTCCTGGACCTGCTGTTTGATGAGTTGCTGTAGCGCTTGAGCTGCTGTTTTGCGTTTTTCGAAACTCTTGTCTGCCAACCCTCGACAAGTTTCCTTCCCAAAGAGAGGCCCCGCGGTGGGGAACTCGGCGGAGGAGCCGTACATCCTTTGCTCCGCCCAGAAGGAGCTAAACCAGTAGACCCAAAACCGTAAACATTAAACACTAAGGCATAGGGACGGACGTTTAAGTCTTCCCTCCCCGTCTGCAGGTCCCCCTCGACGCAGGTTGGGGTATAGCGTGCAAATTTTGGGTCTAGGGTTTGAAACCAGGGCTTGGCTTGAAGAAGATCAAGGGTTCGCTTTTGCGCTGACGCGATCTTCCGTTCTTGGGGCCCGTCTGCTCTGCTAGAAACCCTCAACTTCAGACAAGCACCCTAGACTGTAAATCCTGACCCCTAAGCCCTGGACCGTAGTGGCCGCAGAGAAGTATTGGTGACCCCTCTGGCATAGAATGTCAACATTAAACACTTTATATGAGTTACTTCAGTTATACTGAAGTATTTCTTGCCTCTATTCCTTGGGGCCCCCTTCGTGGGGCCCTGAGTCCTGAAGGGACTGGGGCCCCTTGAGCTGAGGTAGAAAGTATGGGGCCCCCATATCGCGTTTTAAGAAACAACAACAGTGTGAAGCCTTAACTATACATTCTAAAGCACTATCCCGCCACGACTCGTGTGAGGTGAGCTTACACTCGAAGGGCTATGGGGGCCACGGCGGCCGAGAGGGGGGAAAACAAGACACTTTCTTTTTCCGCGCAGAAGGGCCTTGGTGGCGCTGAAAACCGCCATAATGGTCCCAGAAGGATATAAGTGGACTTACAATTCACCCGCATACCCTATACCCTAGGCCATAACCACCCAATCGATGGCCTGCAGAAAGGCTGTCACTTGCCGGCCCTGCGCCCGCGTACTGAAGAGCACAGCAGCGGTAGCCCCGTCTGTTTTGCGTGTGACATTTCTTCTTCTGCTGTCGCTGCTGCTGCTTCTGCATAGACAGCAATGGACACAAGCAGATGCAGCGCCAAAGTGGACCTTCCCCAGCGGCGCATTTAAAACCCCAGGCCTCGCCGGGTTTTTATATCCAGCTGCGCGGTGGGCCACTCCTGTATGCAGCAGAAGCAGCATCAGCAAGAGGAGCACCAGCGGCAGTAAGGGAGACTGTGCCCACAATAGTGGCACTTCTGGATTGTACAGGCCCTATAAACGCAATTGGAATTCCATCCGAGTGCTGTCGACGGAAGCCAACAATTCGCACGACATTTTCTCACAGACGCAGCCGCAGCAGCGAAAGCAGCACGACGATGAGACCCCTCAGATCGACTTGGCTCGCGCGCTGCAACTACTTGAGGCTGCTAGCTCAGGAGGGCCCCCCCTTGGCGCGGAAGCAGCTCTGTGCGGCCCTCCAGGTAGTGGAGCCCAGCCGAGCCACCCTTCTCAACGGGGAATGGGGGAGAAGAGGAGGCTAGCCGTAATTTTCAACTGCATGCTTCATGCATGCGAGCGCCAAGGAGATGCCCTTGGGGGCTTTGAGGTGTACAGACAGATGCAGGCATGTGGGGCCCCACCAGACGAAGCGACCTTCCACAGCGTTGCTGCTCTCATGGAAAGGGCAGGGGAGCACAACGGGATGCTTAAGGTAGGGCTTAGGGACTAGGGTTTAGGCTTTTACGGGCAGTAGCGGGTCTTCAGCCCTCGCTCGAGCCGTCGGTTTAGGGTTTAGGGTTTAGGGTTTAGGGCTTCGGGTGTCTGCGCAGCTTTTGGAGCACATCGAGGCAGAAGGTCACGAGCCCTCCTTGGCGGTTCTGGGTCTCGCTATCAGCTGCTGCAGCAAAGCTGGAGCTGCTGATGCTGCTCTGCAGCAAGCGCAACAGCTGCAGCGTCGAATCCGCGCTGCTGCAGCTGCGGCTGCCCCGGCAGCAGCAGCGGCTGTGGCTGCTGCTACCGCAGGGCTGCAGCAAGAAGCTGAGACAGTGGCAGCAGCAGCAGAGGCTCTGCAACAGGCCCTGCCTTCGAGCGTCTACGCAGCCCTTGTTTGCTGCTGCGCTGCAACCGGCAGATACGACAAAGCTGTTGAACTGTACTCGGAGTTTGCTTCCCTCAGGCAGCAGCAGGAGGTGCTGCAACAGCGTCTGGCCCGGCAGAAGCAGCAGCACCGACAACAGCAGCAGCAAAAACAGCGCCAACAGACGAGCCAAGATTCGAAGGAACTAGAGCCAGAAGTGCTGCAGCACTTGCAGCAGCTGCTGCAGCGGGATTCTTACCTGCCAACAGCAGCAGTCGCAAACGCAGCTATTGCAGCAGCAGCAGCAACAGGGAGGCTGCAACTGGCCATGTCTATCTATCGGCGTGATTTGCTTGAGCTGCAGCAGCAGCAGCAGCAGCACGGGCAGGACCAGCTCTCACAAGAGATATTTGGGACCTGCAGTGCAGCAGAAGCCCATGCCCCCAGCACGCAGACCTTCTTGCTGCTGCTTTCTGGTGCTGCAGCGCAGCAAAGCAGTAACACCGTAGACGTTCTGTTGCGCGACTTTGAGGAACAACAACAGAAGCGACAGCAGCAGCAGCTGCTTCCACTCGATGCTGCTGCGGTGTATGCAGCAGCAGCAGAAGCGCTTGCTGCAGGGGGCAGGTGGAGAGATGCGCTGCAACTCCTTTTGCATTCCCATGCCGACAGGCAGCAGCAGCAAAAGCAGGCAGTCCAACAACTGCAACACCTGATCAGCACGCTGCAGCTGCTCCGGCAGCAGCGCCAGCAGCATAAGCCGCTGCTGCTGGCCTTCCCACCCTCTGGCAGTGTCACACCATATCTCGCCCTTCTGCGCTGCTGTACTGCAGCAGCAGCGCCAAGAGAAGCGCTTGGTCTGCTGCGCCTGCTACAGCAGCGGCATCAGCAGCAGCAGCAGTTGTTTGTGCTACAACAGGAATTGCACCAACAGCAGCAGCAAGACTCTCTAGCAGCAGCTGTAGCGGCCGTTCCCCCGGAGTTCCCTTTAAGTGCATATGCTGAGGTAATGGCAGCAGCAGCAGCAGCAGCAGATTGGCAACTGCTGCTCTCGGTTGCTGCGGAGTTTGAGTCTCCCAAAGTCCAGCAGCAAAGCGCAGCGGTTGCAGCAGCAACGGTTGCTGCTGCTGCGGCTACTGCAACCAGAAGAACGGAAGACCCCGACCCGCGGGCTGCTGATGCTGCTGCTGCACGTGGCGGGGCAGCAGCAGCTGCTGCAAGAGCTACTGCAGCGCTATCGCAGCAGCACATACCCCTCGAGCACAGGGTGCGTGTTGCAGCCCTAAAGCTTAAGGCGCTGCTGCAAATTGGCAACCACACTGCAGCAGAAAACGAAAGGCAGAAGTTGCTGTTGCTACTTGAGGACAGCAGCGGCAGCAGCAACACCGCATTGCCTCAGGGGGGCCCGGCTGATATGCTGGCAGGGCACCAACAGCAGCAGCAAGAACCCCATGATGATCCCCTTGCTAATGAGGCCTTGGAACTCGCGGAGAAGCTCCTCGGTCCGCCCCAACAGCTAAAACAACAGCAGCAGCCCTCAGGACCTCACTTGGCGCTACACGAACGCCAGGCTCGCCAAGAGTTGCAGCGGCAGCAGCACCAAGAAATGATCCTGCGTCAAATCCGGCAACACGAGCAGCAGCAGCAGCAGCAGCAGCCATAGGAGCTGTAGGAATTGCATCAGCAGCAACTCTGAAGCTCTGTAGCAGACCGCAGTCGCAGTGTAAACCCCGAGATCTAGGCCAAAACGCAGGGAGGGGGACCCGCAAGTAGCGTGGGGTGTAATGGCATACGCAGCGGCAGCAGCAGTGGCCCCTGCTGCTGCTGCTACTGCTGAAGATTAAAGCAAGTGACGGCTACGGTGTTGTTTCAGTGCACCAACGAGATAGCCCGGGGCAGCACCAGACGTGTGCAGTGTATGCGCCACATTGTCGCAGCCGGTTTGACTTCGTTGCTCTACGGCTTCGTAGGCACTTTTCTTTCTCTAGGTCGTTGTATTTGCGTTTTGTATGTCCCTCGTCTCTGCAGGCGACGTTCTGTCTCATCCCGTAGCGTGTCCTTCCCGACTGTCTTCCCCCCGTCCCCGCCCTCCCCTCTGCCCCTTTCCACTGCTCTGTTCTGCCCCCAAACTGTTTGTGAATATCTCCTGTTTTGTGTGTCTGTGACAACTTCTAGTTGGAAGCAGCGAATGAAGTGCAGTGCCAACGTCTGTGCTTCTGTATCCGTTAATTTCTCCTCTCCGCAAGGGCAGACAAATGACTAAATGACGGATATTCATTTCGTCCAACTAAAGGAACGAAAGCCGTCGCACTACACGCTACGTCCTTCGGGTGTACGTACAGGACTGTTCCTTTCTCTATACATTTCCACATTAACTAACTCAATGCTTTCGTTTGCAGTTCACCACAAAGTGCACATACACCCTCATCGCACCGCCTGCCGCCGGCGCTCCGGTGTGCGTGCACTTCGTTAGCATCGTTGAACGCGAAAGTCCTCCGCAACCGTCAATTAATGACAGTTGCAAACATATTTACCTTCAAGACAGCGGCAGCCGCAGACAAAGCGGGATGGAGACGCACATGAGGACATGTGCCCGTGTTTGTACAGAGCACGACTCTGCTTCGTTCCTCCTCCCCCCCCACCAGCGAATTGCAACGTGCATGCACTGTAGATGTGCACTGTATGAACTCTTTCAATGCACTTGAATCTTAATCGCCACTTCCTCCGCTTCGTTTCTTGTTCCTGTTCCCTCTGTTTCCCTTATACTTTACCAACGAGCCCCAACTGGCAAGAACGTCGTGGGCCTCTGGGGCAGTGCAGGCAGGGGCCTCGGCTGTCGTTTCTGCACAGTGGAGGACAGCACAAGTCAAGGACTGCAAATTGTGTTCCACGGGGGTTAATAATTGCAAACATTATGGAACAGCCATGAGGAACTGAATCTATTATGTGTACGTGCAGAAAGACGAAACACCGACGCATCTGAACTGTACAGATAAAAGCTTTCCACTGCGGTGTGCCGGAACGCGTTAAGCTGCCCTTTTTGATACACTGAACACGGTTAACCTTGGCGTTTCTACGTTCTATGGCTTTGAGTTTAGAATTTAATGTTTAGGGCTTAGAGCTCGACGTCTACGGTTTAGTGTTATATTACCGAGAAGAATATCTGCATCGTGTACACCTTCTTCTCCGCGTCCCATGCCGCGTGGTGTCGGGGATCGTCTCTGTCAATTTCCATGTTAGGAATTTTAAAGGCTGAACAAACAAACGGAGCAGCAAGGAAGCTTGAAGATGCGGTCTACGCACACCGCATCTTTAAGCTGCATGGTGTGCTCCGTCTGTCCGTAAAGCGGACACACGAAGCACACCGTGCAGCTCCCTATGCGGTGTACACAAATACGTGAAAACCACTGTGTGCAGACCAATATCCGCACGCAGAACGCAGCGCTCATAAGGCATTGTATAGTATATACATTGTATATATGTGAATAGAAACGTCCTCTGACCAGTCGCAAAGTATAGTGCTAACCCTGAACTTTCTACAGCCGCATGCTAGTGAATACCCTCTCCCCTAAACAGCTGCATGACAGAACACTCCATGTATACAGCTGCGCTCCACAAAAAGACCTAACTACCATATTAAGATACCGAACAGAACCCGTCGAGACTCTACACCCTAAACCAGAGCTTAGCCTTGTGCTCAAAAATATAAACAAGGCCACTGCTGTTGCTGCTACTGCTGCTGCTGCTGCTGCTACTGCTGCTACTGCTGCAAACTAGCACCACCGAGGCGACGAACCAATAGTCTCGTAGGGCTCCGCAGCGAAGAGCAGGAATTGATAGTTTCCATCTGGCGGGGTTTCAACGCGCTGTTCAAAGGCCGACATAAACCTGTGCGAAGTAAAGCGAAGACAAATGACGCGCGCACTAGACAGGTGTAACACAGTAAAGTTCAGGTGTACATACACAACATAGACAGGGCCCCATGAGCAACCGCTAGAGCTGCTCACGTGTAGCAAAACGAGCTCAAAAAATAAACACCTCCAGGAAAGAAGCACATGTTGCACAGCCCCGACACTGCACCCGCGAAGGAGCCTCCTCCCACCATGTGGGTGTAACGTACGTACACTCCACTGTATAAAGCCTAGCAAGTGAGCAAATATACGTGCATACGTTTGCAGATACAAATGAAAATGAATATACATATACCCTAGCAAGCAGAACTATCACGGAGCCTCAACAGAGTTTTCGTTTACACCGACCGCGCCGCCCAGGAGTTGCTGTTGCAGTTCCCTTTATCGACGCAGACGCACAAACCCATGCGCTTTTACATACACTCAGCCCTCGTGCATGCAACAGTACGCATACCGGTGCATATACCAGTTCACAAGCCTGTGTATGCTCCCGTACAAACGCCTATCCACACAGTTGTGCATTCACCTGTAAGCTGTGCAGACATTTGTCCAGAGACTACTGCACGTATATCTGAATATGTGTCCGTGCCTGCACACCTGTGTTGCTACGGAAGCTGCTGCTGCTTCTGCTGTTGCTTCTGTTTCAGAAAGTGACCAAGCAGCTGTCGCTTGCTGCTGGGCTGGGCATTACCTGTGGTAGGGTTTGGTGCCTCTCACGATCTCCGGATACTCCACTTCACACAACAGCGCAAACTGACGTGTTCGCTCGTCGCGCAGCTTCGTCACGCGGTAACCCGGACGCCCAATGCGGACTCTGTCGGATGTGCGCCCAGGGCCGCTGGATGTCTGCACCACCAACAGAAGCAGTGGCACCAGTGGGAAGAGCAGCAATATAAAAACCAGCAGCGCAACCAGCGGCAGCAGCAGCAAGAACAGCAGCAGTCATTGCACCTGCAGCGACCGCAACTGCAAAAGTTCAGAGGCCGGCACAGCAGCAGCGGCGACAGAGAATCCAGTAGGACTGGCAGAAGTAGGCGGCCTAGATGCCACGGCCAGAGCCGCACTACAGCTCAGCCACAGCAAATTACCTTGAGCGGCATGGGGGCGACAACAGCATCTGCTTTTTCTTTTGCAAGTCTCCTCGAGAGGTTTGTTTGGTGTTTTTTGCCCTGTGTATGCGACAGATAAGAGCCTTCATTTGTGTGCAGAGTCAAGCACAAACGGCACTCGAACTGGCCTGAGCAGTAGTACCCCGCAGCAACAGCAACACGGACAACGATAGCAGCAGCCCCAACAGCGACAACACACAGCGGAGATCGAATAAAACAAGAGCAAGAACCACGCAAAAGGCAGAAGGAACGCTGCAAGCACAACATCGGCAACAGCAATGAGCAAGAGAGCAAGAAAGCCTGCAGTGGCAATAACGAGAACGCCGTTAACAACCAGCAACATCAACAGCCAGATTATCAGCGAAAACTACAGCCGCCACAGAGATAGCATCCAATGCAAGACTACAAATCCATGTGTACAACATGTGTGCATATGTGTATGCAGTGGGGATCCAGGGAAGGATGAGCGTGCGTGGTGGAGAGGTGCCGCATGGGACGAATCACGCCTTAAGAAGCGCTGCTGTTGCTACTGCTGCCATACTTCTGCTGCTGCTGCTGCTACTGTTGCCGCTATTGAGTGGAAGCCATTTCCACTAGCATTTTTGTTTGTGTAGTAGACACTCCCCACCCCGCAGGAGCAACAGCGGCAGCCGCTCTTGTCTCTGTTACTGCCTACCCAAGTGGTTGCGCATGAAGTACGGGTCTTTGTTGAGGTCTATTGTCTCCAAGGCCAGCCGACGCAGCCTTTCCTTCCGTTCGAGATTTACCTCCTGTAAAGCACAATAACGGAGACAACTCATTTGCGTGTAAACCCAAGTCGTCCCATTTGTTAACTGAGCATTCAACAACTCGAATGGAGAGCGAGCAGCAAGACACCAAACTACCGGGAAGGGGCCATTTCTGCAGCTGCCGCAACAATTGCTGTTCCTGCAGCATGTTCCGTTGCTGGTTGTGCTGCTGTTGGCCTGTCATGAGTGGGCCACTGCGTGTGCCTGCTGGGGTTTCGCCTCCGCCCTCCACGCTGCACTCGAGCTGGGCTGACCTGCCAGGTGGCGGGGGCACCAGAGCCGAGCTTATGCCCGACTCTGTTCTGGTAGTCCATATAAACCGACATTTTCGCTGCAAGTTAGGATCAGTTATGTACTGCTGCCGCTGCTGCCGTGCGGCCGGGGCCCCCGGTGTTGTCCTCCGAGAGGGAGGAGGGCGGCAAGCTATATAAACGAACTCCAGCAAAACAAAACAAATTAGAACAATATAAATAAAATCCTGGTCCGGTGCTTGCGACAGCCACTAGCTCAGTGTTTGCATGCAGCTGTGCCTTGGCTTCCGCTGATGCGAGGAAGAGCAGCGTGGCGCACGGCCACTAGAATGGGATCTCCACTGAGCCTCTAACGGACAATCCGGCGACAAATACGATACAATGCAATTTTTGTATTTAACAAAGGACATTTGAGCTATACTTGTAGACAACGAGTGACGAGAGCCCACAGCCGTTCGCGGTTCGGGACTGCCGGGGCCCCGAGGCCATGACCCTCATGGACATGGAAAATAACAGTTCCTTTTCTTCTCTCATTTGACATCGGGAACGCGGGAAAGTATGTTTGAGGCATATATTTAGATTATTTAGGTCAATTCAGAGAGTGATCTCTTGAGTTCAGTGTATAGATAGTTGTGGAGTGTGCACTTCTTAGGGGCGAGCGCTACGAAGCAGCGCCGGACTACGCTGTCTGTAGCATGAGTTAGCACGGGAGCCTTCAGTAGGCTTTGGTAGGTTGCGTGTAACGGTTGCAAACGTTCTACGAATGCATTCAGGGGCAAAGCATGCAGCAAAGGAGGCCTCCTCGAAGCTTCCTTGTGTGCACGCGTGGGGCTGGCTCGTATTACCAGCCGCAGCGAGGTTCGCTGCAACCCGACTTCATGCTGCCTTCCTGCCCGCAACACCCAGGCCCTGAGTTCAACGTCCAGGAGGCCTGAAGAAAGGGGAAGGGGGTCAGCTGCTTTGGGGAAACACTTGCTTCAAGCCATCAACTATATTGCATGTCGCCTCTGTCCGAGATAAATTCCAGAGAACAAGCGTTATCCTGTCAATTACAGGCAGGGTGGGTATTGTACAGCCAGGCCTTCAGGAATGTGAATTAGTATACGAAATAAGTATGACCGGGGGTAGAACCGACAGTAAATCCAAGTCGTGGTTGTAACAAAATCCACGAGCTTCTGACCTCTGGTGGCGGTACTACTGCGCAGACGTCCGTGGGTGAAGGTCTCTCAGAGGTGGATAGAAGCCAGACAGGTGCCTACCAACTGGCTAGCTTTATTGTGTGCTTCACTAAGGATGTCAGGGACGTCTGATTGTGGGCTTTCCTTTGCGCTAAAAGTTGGATTGCTGCACGGCGTCGTATTCTGTGTTAGCAGGTTGCATGCGCATGCTTATGGGGCCTCTGGCTACTGGAAGGCAACTAAATGTGTTGCATTTGTTCGCGCTGTTGGTATATGCATCGAAAACTGTGTTTTGGCATTACTGAGGGTTTAAAACGAGATTCGTCAGTCTTATCGGTGGACAGTTGCGAGCTGCAACCAAGTCAAAATACTAGAGAGTTTGCAAGAATCATCTGGCATCCTCTCCAGTTAGCAGGCATCCTGCGGCCAGCGGCTCCAGAGCCTGGAGCCTGGGTACCCTGCTTACCCAGCTATTTTGCTTTCCTTGTTCTTTGTTAGTTGCGTTGAATCCTCTCGTACCCTCTTTTCCCCCAGTTTCCCCACGAAAAGCTTGTTTGACGACAGGTATACGATGGCACGTGCTGCTTGGGGGAGAGAGTTTGTGTGCAGGGTGGCTACTGAGGGGCAATCAAATGATTAACCATTCTCTACAGCGTTGTAGAATGCAGTAGATGCTCTTCGGCTTTCTTGTCTCGGGGTATGGCTGGCAGCAGGAGCTGCAGCAAGGTGTGCTGCGACTGACGTCAGAGCTGGTGCGGCGAGGAGGTGGCCATCAGGCCACCTCCTCGCCGCACCAGCTCCAGGCCAATGTGGCGCTTTGCCNGTGCGGCGAGGAGGTGGCCATCAGGCCACCTCCTCGCCGCACCAGCTCCAGGCCAATGTGGCGCTTTGCCGAAGACTTCTGGAGACTGGGTTTAAGCTGGTCTTTGGGAGCACTTATTTTCAGTATTTTGATACTGCGGCGGCCTACGACGGACCGCAGCTAATGTTGAGGACCCTCGTAACATTCCGCAACTGGGCCACGTAGGGGCATCATGAGGTTGCACTGCACTATCTCCCGAACTCTTAACCTATTGCACGTTCATTTCATTGTTTTTTGTATATGGCCCTTCCAGTATGTCAAACTAATAGACACAACCTCTCTTTAAAGCTACAGCCGCCTGTGACAGCAGCGATGACACTGAAATGTAATAATGCAACGCAGTGTGAATGCGGATGGCGTGCACAGCAGTTGTTTCCTCTGCACACCTTCTCGCTTGCAAAACATGTTATTTGAACATACAACGAAATATCGAATAGAGACTGCGATATGGCAGTTGTCCTGGCTGAAGCTGCCGACAGGACCCCAGAAGACGACCGTTGGGGGTTGAAGTCGCATGTGCAGATCCGCCTGCCGTTGCAGTGAGCTCTTCGGCGCCTGTTTGACATCTGAGTTTCTGGAAGAGCTGTATTATCATTCCTATGTTTGTTTTTCATTCCTTGCTTAGGTGTTAACTATTGCAGCACTGAACAACACGAGCGGCACACCAGCAGCCGTGGCCGTTGGCCGCTCACCGACACCGGCGTAGCAAGCAGCATGTGCATTGTTTTGGGTTCTGTATTAGAGTAACAATATCTACATTAGTGAAGAAGACAATGTATATTTGTCGTAATTAGCGGCAACATTCACGATAGTGGAACAGTTAGGGGCTATACATGCGTCGTGTTGTGTTGCGCGGGATTTATGCCTCGCTGACCGGTCAGCAGCAATCTTTTACTCCCTTTTCGTCCTCGACAGCTCCACCTTCCTCTTCTCAGTGGCTTTTCTTATGATTAATAATAAGAAGACTGAGGTTAACCACTGAAAGCGATACACGGACCCGCGGGGAAAGTTTCATGTTGTGACAACCCCTCTCGATTCATCTTGGGGCATCTTTGCTTCCATCTCCACCTCCGCATTTTTCGTAGGGCTCGCCTTTGACTTGCTAGCTTACACGGAGTAGACCGCATCTCCATGCTCCCCTGGAGGTTCGCTTTTCCCTCCTGTTCGTGTCGCTGGCGCGTGTGTGCCAGTGAAGGGCAGCCCTGTAGTGCGCACATCTTATGTTGAACTTCGACATACGCCTTCTTCGAAGACACCGTTCCCTTCTGTGCGCTTCTGTACTCTTTACACCTACCCAGGGTCCCTTTCAGGCGTTGTGCAAAACGTGGCCTGGCACAGCACCTGCGCGCATATTATTTTTCAATTGCATTGCTTCTAGTAGAATATTTTGGTTGTCCTCGCTTCTGTTTCTTTGGTTCCTGCAGCAGACAAACTTCCACGTGCACCTTCTTGGTGCGCAGGCTAGTGGCCTGATTTGTTTTTACGCAGGTGCCGCTGGGTATCCCTGTATTGCAGTGCATTTATTTCCCTTGCTTATCGTCTCTTCCGTCCATTATTAGATGCGAAGCGCAGACGTATTTCTTCTGTGAATACTTTTCTGCGTGTGCTTAGGCATTTCTAGAGTTACGGTCTAGGGTATAGTGCGGAGGGTGTACGGCTTGTCACGAATTTGGGGTAGCGCGGAGCGTCATTCCTTTCCGTTTATCTCTTCACCTGCGACATCGCCAGATAAGTCCTGGAAAGGCGCACGCAGGGTTAAAAGGGGTAAACCAGAGGGATTCAAGTGAAACGGAATCAGTACAATTGGATACAACTGAAGTGGACGGTGGAAATAAGGCGAGACATTGGTGTACAGAGGAACGGCGGTAATAAAGCAACGGCGAGGAACAAAAATGGAGAAACTCCCCACCATTATTCTTCCGGAGGGAGAGGTCGCTTCGCCGAGTCCCAGAGCAGGTCAGCCGTGTCTCGTGTAGTCGCTTGTTTTTGTCTATCTCCACTTGAGCTTCGTTATTTCTGCTTCTTTATAGGGTGTTTTATTATAGGTGTAGTGACACTGGGGCAGAAAGTTGCGGTAGCGAATGGGGCTAGATGTCCCAGTCGAATAGAGCACCCATGGCCTCGAATGTTCTTTGCTGCAAAGCAAGCAGAGCCATACGAACCCGTAGGGTTTAAGGAACAGAAAAATTGCTAACAAGCTGTGGTTTGGGTCTGTGTGCATGGTGTGGCTTGTAATAACCTTGCTTTCCCCTCCCTTTCCTTATTGTTGTAAGTTTTCCACTTCGTTTCCGCGGAGCGCAAAGCTCCTCTGCGCTTCCGTGGCTTTAGGTGAGTGGGTGGGTACATGCATATACATGCATATATGCGAGTGGTTGGTGTGCCCACATGTATGCATCTGCATGTGCGCCTGTATAGTTGAGCGCCCTTTGTGCCATTAAAGGCCATTGGTTTGCACCCTTATTCGCTTGTTCTGTGCACAAGCTGTGGGATACGTTTTTCTCGTTGGTTCTGCCTCAGCGGTCTCTCTGGGTTCTTTAGAGAAGGTGCATACGAGCACTAAGAGTTCGTTGCTGCGTCTAGGGGGCATCCGGATGCGTTGCGAGAGCCCTCAGCAGCTGGTCGATGAGTTTTACGTAAAGCGGCTAGGGATGCAGGAGCTGTTGCTGAGTTCCACAGGGGGATCGAGACTGGGGGGCGGCGGGCGTTTGGAGTTCTGCCTTGCTCTTCCGCCGCGGCAGCATCTGCACCAACTACTTCATCAGCTTTCTCTGCGGTCACAACACCGCCGCAGCAGCCGCTCAAGCAGCCGCACAGATCTTGGGGCCACCGCGGAGGGGGAGGACGGAGGGGGAAACAGCAGCGGGAAGCTCTCTCTGCTGGGGCAGGAAGCGTTAAACCGTAGCGGAGCCAGCAGCAGACGCAGCAGCTTTGGCAGCCAGAGTTCAGCTCGCCATAATAGCCTGACGTCATCCGTACCCTCCTCCCCTAACCGGTTCGCGGCCTTCGAGTTTTTCACCCCTGCCGAAGTCGAAGGCGCCGTAGCGGAGGCCACAGATGCCACTGCTAATCCTGCATCAGCGAACAGTATGCTTACAATATATATATATATATATATATATATATATATATATATATATATATATATATATATATATATATAGGCTGTATCCATGGGTATGTAAGTGGGGGGTGTATGTTCGTGTGTGCTGATATCTGTGTATCCAGTCATGCATAGACGCGCCTGCCGACGCACATTTATATATATTGCATCAATGCTTACACGACGCAGACAAGAATATGTGGGTGCAACGTGAATCAGCATACAAACGTATCTGTAGGTGTGTATGCAGTAACTGTGGCCTTTTGGTTTTGCGGATGCGAGGTGGATGCCCCTGTATGGTTTACCACATGCTGCCACATGCTTTGATTTCAACCAGCTACTTGTTTTGTTTGGTATGCAGTAAAACCCAAGAGTTGGTTGCGGCATGTGGGGGGTCAGTTTGTATTGGAGTTCGTGCCGGTGCAGAAGGCGGGGGCCAAATGTAAGGCCTATGAACACCGCGGCTCCGACGCCTTCAGTCATCTCTCCTTCACCGTTTGTGTGAGCCTATTTCTGCTTATCGTGTGCCACTTCAAAGGTAACATATTCGGTTTAGTGGGAGGTGGTAGCGTAGTTGAGTGCATGTAGTTCAGCAGAATATGCCTTTATGCAATATGGCGAAATGCGACGTGCATAGAGCAACCGAGCGTGA